AACTTAACTAAAGAGTATTCTGATAAGCAAAAATGTTGTCCAGCTACTCTAACTAACTACATACAAAACAACAACAAAAAAATCCTAAATATCTACGAATCTTCAGTGGCGTACTCAGCTCGAGGCTTCCCACCGAGCCCCCTCCTGAGATATCCACCAAAAAAAAAAAAAAACAGCCGACTAATCAAATAAACAGACAATCATAATTGCATACCAGAACACTCACCAAAACGTTGTAGCTTTCAAAAGTTCCGCAAGTAACACTAACTTATACACTAAAGTCTGATTTAAAAGTATTTATCCCGGACGAGCCCCCAATATGTTACGGGCGGACGGACACCACCCTTAACATAGAGGGGAGACGCACACAGGTTAGCTCGTGGCAAAAATAGGGGTGTTTTATTTAGTAGGGTGGTCAACAGATGCCGGGTAGCTTTACAAACACAGGCAGGTTAGTTTCTAAGACGGAACGCTTCGGATTCCCGGGTGGACAGCAAACTCCAAACAGCACGGCAGTCAACTGCTCTCTCAGGCTCTGTGTGCGCCCCCAGGTGTGGTTCCAGAAAGCTTTTGTAGCGCGAGGATGCGGCTGCAGCACAGGTGTAGCTCATCTGCAATTAAGAGCAAGGAAAACTCAGACTCTCAAACACGTGTAAAAATACACAGCGGGCTGGGGAACGTAACAGAAGGATTTGTAAATATATTATTCGTAGCCTGATTTATATAACATTTTATTCCAAAATCATTTTTTAAGTGACTATTGACAGTATATTCTGATTTACAGGGTAACAAAAGTAGATATCCACAAATCCCTCAATTTTAAGAAAGACTAGTATATGATGGTATATGATAAACCAAAATGTATTGTTTGTTCAGAATTGGGTTTAAAGGAGTAAATTACCACAATTTGATACCCATGCAGGAAAATGATTATGACCATGATATTTTTTGCTAACTTCTCAGCTTAAGTGAATTATTACTTAACATTTACATTACTGTTGAACTATGGTATTAACAAAAACTATATAATAGTAAAAGCTGACTGTTGCCTCATTTATCCAATTTCCACCAACATGGAAAAAGTAGGCCGGTCTTGGGCCTAAAAGTCCCGGGCTGAAAAGTGGCCCCACTCTGGCCCTGCAACTGTCCAACTCTGAGGGAGTTGTAAAATGAGCCTATTTCCAAAAAAGTGGAGTATCCCTTAAATGAAGTGGTCAAAATCATGTCTGATGCACCTCCTATCTTACTCATACCTATCTATCTAACTCATTTATTAATCATTATGATACTAAAATCATGATAAAGTAGGCTATATATGCAAAAAAAAAAATCAGATAAGCCCAGCATATGAACACAACACATTTAATTACACATTTTCATTTTCCTTTAATTACGCATTTTCCTCCCATAGAAAACCATTATAAGAACGAATGTGTCTTAATTCAGATTAGAATGTCCCGTTATTGCGTCAAAATAACAAGATATTATCTTGAAATAATGACTAAGTTGCCTACGCTGAAATAATGAAATTTTATGTTGAAATAATGACTTAATACCTCGAAATAACAAGTTTTCTTTTTTTTATTCTTCACCATACGGTTCAGGGCTTCCATAGAATACAGCCTGAATATAATTGCTTCCGTAAATAATTTTTGGGGGTGCTTTTAAAAAAAATAAAAATATCTGCAATCATACACTATGGGAGTAGTGAATCATATTTTTGTGTGTGCCTTTAGCCCCGTTGTACTATTTAGCAAGGTATGAACAATGGACCCCTGAGGTGCATAGTTCCTTTTTATCTTTTTGTCAATCGATCTTCATTTCTCTTTTTCTCTTTTGTGTGGCATGCCTAGCAAACCTCATCCATTGCCCCATGACTTCTGGGTACTCTCAGTTCTTTTTTCTTTTAAATCTTGTTCATAAAAGGAGGAAAATCTCATACTCAGCACACTTGTTCTTGTATAAAAACTGTCCAAAGAGATTTTAGTGAACCCCTGTCCCAGACATGATTTTTCTAATTATTGTTTAAAAAAGTGTTTCAGCCTGCTCTTAAAGGAGCATTTCACCCATTGCAACATTAATTTTTATTGAAAGTGGATCATATATGTAGTCGAAATGTAAAAGAATTTTTGGTCCCACTTTATATTAAGTGGCTTTTAGTACTATGTACTTGCATTGAAATTAATAGTTTGTTACAATGGACTTATTGTGTACTTACATGTTTTTACATTGTACTTATATTTTAAAATTCCAGCATGTAATTACAGCCATAATTACTTTATGTAATTACATTAGTAATTACACAGTTGACCCTCCCCTCACACCTTAACCTACCCTTAAACCGACCCATACCACCACACCTGTCCCTAACCTTACCCGTATCACATCTCAATAGCAGCAAAAGTGTTTTACAATACAACAGGAACACAATAATACAATGTACTTATTGTTCAATGTAAGTACATAGTACTTAAAGCCACTTAATATAAAGTGGGACCGAATTTTTTAATTTGGTGCCCTCTTGACCGAGAAAAGACAGAAAATAACCAAAGGGCGCATATGTATGAATAGACTACAGGTCCCAGAATGCCCCGCGTTGTACAGCTCCACAAGCCACACCCTCTGATCCGGAACCGCGCAAACAGAGAATTCATTCTTCCGTCTAAAAGGCTAACATTAGCTGTCACCGGAGTTTGAAATTCATTTCACACAAAATGTCTAGTTGGCTGTGGCGAGCGGGACGATCGAGGGCGAGGGATGTAACTTAGGCTACGTTCACACTGCAGGCTGAAACGACCTAATTCCGATTTTTTTGCCCCTATGCGACCTGTATCTGATTTTTTCATGCCAGTCTGAACGACACAGATCCGATCTTTTCAAATGCGACCCAGGCCACTTGGGTATGTGGTCCAAATCCGATATGTATCCGATCTTTTGAAATGCGACTTCAATCTGAACGGCCAGGTCACATATATCCGACCCGCACATCATTGATATGCAACAAACGTCATAATTCTGCGTTGAAGTAGTAGGTGGGAATGAGAAGTTGAACAACAACACTACCATGGCGGACGATGCTGAAACCAGTCAATGGAAGGAAAGCGAGGTGTCGGAGTTAATTAATATTTGGGGGGACAGCTCTATTCAGGCCAAACTCGAGGGCTCTTATCGGAACCGGGCGTTTTTTGAAAACATTTCCAGCGAAATGTCCGTGCATGGTTACAGGCGATCCTGGCTCCAATGCCAGTGAAAAATAAAAAGCCTCCGAGCCAAATACAAGGAGGTTAAAGACTGGAACAAACGAAGTGGCCGTCAACGTATCACCTGTCCATTTTACGAAGAGCTGGACCGCATTTTGGGGGATAAGCCCAGCGTTCAGCCACTAGAACTGTTGGACAGCTGCTTTGCCCAAGAGGAGCCCGGGGAGAAGAGCCCAGGTCCCACCGCAACTGTCGCGGCCAGCCCAGCTAGTAGCTCTTGCGGTGATACAGGTGGGTTATTTGCACATGGCCCAGAGCTACCTGTGAGTGTGACTTAACTTTATAACATTGAAATACGATGTGTGACAGTTTGTTAAATGCATACACAGGTGATGGGACCCTTGTTGCTGTTTCAGCTTCTGCCTCTATCTCCGAAGAAAGTTCTGCAGCAAGTGAAGATAACGTTACATCTGTGGACAGCTATGCATCTTCCACACCCACTGATGGAAAGAAAGTTCTTTGCTGTTTTTTGATCGTTTTCCAACTCAATTAAACTCTTAACCCCTAACTGAACCGAGCACATTTTTTTTAGTTTGTCTTTACCAAAATATAAAAGCTTGAAAAAAAAAAAGAAAATGTTAAGAAAATGCAACAAAAAAGTGACAAAAACATGACAAAAAAGTGATGAAAACGTGACAAAAATAAATAAAAAATATGATGAAAGCGCAATAAAAAAAATTGACAGAAGAGTGATCAATCTTGCCAACTTTTGACCTAAAACATGTGATATGAAATTAATTTGTTTGAATTGAATGTTGAACTGGCTTCTGAACAGCTTAGTATTGTTTATAAATGGCCATGAATAATCATAATTATTACTTAATATAAACTGGAATGCTTGGCGCTTTTACTGTTATACTAATAATAAAATAAAAAATAAACATTGTAATCCTTATTTTGATCTGTTCTTTTTTTCTTTTTACAGCTACTACTGCCAAGAAAAGAAAAAGAAAATCAAAGATGGAGGCAACGCTGGAGGTATTTGCTGACAAGATTACCAGTGCCCTTAAAGATGACGACGATGAAGCAGCTCAGCATGAGCATGATCGTAAAATGTTTGCCATGATATCTGAGTTTATGGAGAGATCAACCCAGCCTCCACAGCCACCTTTCTACCATGCACCAATTCATCCCGCTCAGCTTTACAACCCAATTCATCCTCCTACTCTTCATTCCTCACAGTTTCCTGTGGCTTCCTCTCCATCTCCCACCCAGCCCCTGCCCTTTTTTCAAGATTTAAATCAACCACTGCCCTTCAGTAATACTCATCCACATCCCAGTCTCCCTCAGTCATTCTTCCAGGTACCGGCAAATACTCAGGGTCAACAGGCTTTCAACAACGAGGATCATCGGCCACCTTTCCAGTCTGAAGAAGATGAAACCCTCTTTACAAAGTTATGAATGGTTCTAAAACATTAATGACAGTTAATGATACATTTTTGCACAATGTTCAGGTTGAAGTGTGAAGGTTATTTATAATGCACTAGTTATTTTATTACTAGTATTTTTGTTATTTTGTTGTTGTTAGATTTGTTGATGGCAAATACTTGACACTATTGAATATGTTGTATTGTATTTGTTTGCCAATACACTGTGAACTTTTCCTGTTAGTTTAATTGGTACATTTGCTGTGTTAAAATGTGGGCAAAATTTGCACTATTATAGCCACACTATTTTCTTTTAATAAAAAGGAAACAGCAATAACAGTATTGAAAATGTTATTTATTTAATTATTGCAGCTATGGTAACAATTCAGCAAAGCAGCACAAAACAAATAACTAATTTGTGGTTGGGCCTGTCAAGATAACAAAATTCAATATATTGAGTCATTCAAATGTTGCGATAAATGATATTGAAGATCTTGTAATGACACAGAAACAAACTCTAAAACCAAAAAATGACAGTAAAACTGAAAGGTACTTAAACACTTGAAATATTACACAACCTACGCGGGTTTAAAAATATAGTATTACATTAGAAAACTGTGTCAAAAAAAGCAAATATGTACAGATAAATATTGAGGTCAAAAAGTACTAAAGTTGAACGATGTAGTAATTATTGTGACAGCCCAGTTTGTGGCTCAACGTTGGCTAACAAAAAGCTGAGTCAGTGCTTCTCTGACTTTTGCTGGCTGCACATCTACAAATCCCCCTCCTTCAGCCAATCTCTCAACACGAGGAACAGTTTCACCAGCCTCTTCATAAATCTCCCCGTGCATTTCACACACATTGTGGAGTGTGCAACATGCACTGATTATGGTGGGGACGAGGGAAACGTCCACATCCAGCCGTTTAGCAAGGCACCTCCACCGGCCCTTCAGTCGTCCGAATGCGCACTCCACAGTCATCCTGGCTCTGCTGTGGCGCTCATTGAAGTACTTCTGCTCAACTGTCAGGGTTCCTTTGTCACAGTATCCTTTTAACAGCCAGATTCGAAGGGGATAAGCCGGGTCGCCGAGCAGCATGATTGGCACTTGAACGCCCATTATCTCTTCAGTGTCCTTAAGATTTAAAAGCACACAAAAAAAAATCAAAATAATTAAAGACAGATTGTATACATGGTAAATCACTATTACTAGATTACTCACTGGTGGAAAAAGCTCCCCTTTCTCTGCGAGTGAGTACACATGGGAATTCCGGAGTACCCTCGCATCATGAACACTCCCTGGCCATCCAGCATAGATGTTGGTGAAACTGTTGGAAGACAGTGTTAAATTACTGAATATGCCATGGTAAAATGTATGTATTTTCAAGGATAACATTCTTGCAGATCTATGGTTGTACCAAAAGAAAGTGAGGCAAGTACACAAAGACAACGAATGATTCGTAAAAAAAAATTATAATTGTAACGAGTAACTAGCAGAACATTGAAAAAATAACTAAGTCAAAGTATTAAATTCATCAAATATATCTACTGAAGTAAAAGTTGAAGTATGAGAAAAAAAATACTCTCGTAGAGTACAGATAGAGCATTTTAGTACTTAAGTACAGTAATTAAGTAGTTTTACTTCGTTACTATACATCTCTGCAAGTACAGTACTTTTAAAATAGTATAAGAACAATATCTATAGCAGCTATGTCTTACCAAAACCGATGATCCACGACACCCTGGAGCAGAACCGAGTGCCACCCTTTGCGGTTAAAATACTCTGCGTGGTTATCCTCTGGAGCAATGATGGGGATATGACTCCCATCAATAGCTCCTCCACACTGCGGGAAACCCCATCTCTGGCGGAAGCCTTCACAGACCTCTTTCAGGTCATCACCTTTGGGTAGTTTTATGTAATGGGGCATGAGTACACGGCGAACTGCTTTGCAGAACTCGTGTACAATAGCGCAGACCGTAGACTTGGCTATGCCGAACAAGCTAGCTATCGTACGATAGCACGCACCTGTAGCTAGCCAATAAACTCCAACTCCAACGCGTTTCTCCACTGTTATGGGCCGCCGCAGATGTGTCTCTTCCCGTGACAGAGTTAATCGAAGGTGCTCACAAACATAATCAAAGGTGGATCTGGTCATTCGAAAGTGACTGATGAACTCTGTATCTGTGAAGCCCCTCACATCAGTATCCCACCACTCCTGGCTGCGACTCCGCACCCACATGTTTCTCTGCACCGACGTTGCAACCACAGCTCCACAATAAGCCATGGCCAAAAGCCTTGCTCTCCTCCTTTTTAATTTTCTTCTTAAAATTAGAAGATTGTACGTGTGCTGGCTCTGTTGCGAAAATAACTTTAAAATTGCTAAACGAGCTCCACTGTTGACATCCATAGCTAGTTCCGCAAACAACAAGTGACGTCGTTGACCGTTGAGTACTCTTCTGCGCATGCGGGTCACTTCTGGGTCATTTCACGTTCACACAGGAGATCACAAAAGGTCGCATTTAATTGGAAATGTGAACGGCCTTGCAAAAAAATCGAATTTTTTCAAAAAATCGGAATTGAGCATTAAGCCCTGCAGTGTGAACGTAGCCTTAAAGGACAACTCCGGCGCAAAATGAACCTTTGGTCTAATTACACATTATTACCTAGTCAACCGTTATCTGAGATTTGTTTTCATGATTGCCGAATGTAAATAGTTTTATCTCTAAAAACAGTTTAGCCTATAACGCTAGTATAACGCTAGTATATAGGGCATAGAGTAATGACAAATAAAACTCGCTTGTTATTACCACTAAAAAGGCTAAAAATAGCCCCACAGTAACACGACAGCATAATAAGGGTCCATACATTCAAACCGAAGCATTGAGAACTTTGTCAGTGTCCATACAGTTTAATAAGCAGATATTTTATACACACAGTCAACTTCGCGAATACAGGAAGAAGCCATCTTTGAAAATAGTCTCTACCAGTCGATCTACGAACGCCGATCCAAGTGCGCTGGTGAGATGTGAATAAGGTGATAAGGTGAGCGTGAACAGTAGTCTAAGGACCCTTGTTATGCTGTCGTGTTATTGTGGGGCTATTTTGAGCCTTGTTAGAGGTAATAACAAGCGATTTTTATTTGTCATTACTCTATGCCTTATATACTAGCATTATACTAGCGTATACATTATACTATTATTCTTTCTTTTTTGCTCGCAATAAACTTCAATCAATCAATAAATCGACGTTTGTTTTGAAACACAGTTTGTTGTTTATTTTCAATACAATGTTCACGGTTACATCATTGATAATACACGGGACACATTATATCCTGCCATAGCACAGTTCCATGTGGAGACTGAAAAAATCCTTCAAGTCATTTAGAACAGGTATCGTTATGGCAGCTCGGGTGGAACCTTTATTTTACTGTCTATGGGTGGAACGGGCCCTGGACATCCGTGTTGATTCTGTGGGGATAAAGTTTGTGTCGTCTCGTTATTCAACGTCGATAAGCTCCAGCTGACAGCTGCAAAAACAACATTCTCTCTCTTTTGCTCGCGGCGCACGGAACCAAAGAGATTCGCGAACCCCCCTAGCGTTCTGGCGGCGAAATGCACCGCGATGCACCACAACCTCACAGAGAAGCATAAAACGCCCACGACGCCGTAGCAGTGACGACATAGCTACGCCGTGGAGTTGACGCAGAAGCATAATGAGGCCTTAACACTGATCATTGCGGTACTCCATAGTCTACTGACATTATCTTTGATTTTTTCCCATTTAAACAGACAAAATTAAACGGTCCGATAAGTGCGATCTAAACCAGCTTAATGCTTGTCCCTGAACACCAGTGAAGTTTTGTAGTCGATCCAGGAGTATTTTATGATCTATAGTGTCGAACGCAGCGCTAAGATCAAGTAGGACTAGTATTGAGATACAGCCTTGGTCAGAAGCTAAAAGTAAATCGTTTGTAATTTTAACTAGCGCAGTTTCTGTACTATGATGCGGTCTGAATCCTGACTGGAATTTTTCATAGATATCATTTTCTTGCAAAAAAGAGCACAATTGAGCGGACACTACTTTTTCAAGTATTTTGGACATAAATGGAAGATTTGAGATGGGTCTGTAATTTGCCAAATTATTTGGATCTAATTGCGTTTTTTTAATGAGAGGTTTTATTACTGCCAGCTTGAATATTTTTGGAACATGCCCTAAAGATAAAGTTTTCATTGCGTTTCAAAATGCAAATTTTGATGGGGTCAGAGCTGATGTCTCATTGGTCTAGTTCCGCCTATCAGATGTGAGCACTTTCAGCGGCGCAGCTATTGGCTGACTATCTGTCTTTTCCGTGGCTAGTGTGTAGCTTGAGCCCGTTTCTCTGGGCTTATCTTCACTACTCTCACAGCAGGATTTATTGCAGTTCCCACAGCGTTGCTTCGCAATCTCTGGTTACTATTGTGACCTCGGTTACCTGAGAGGCGGGAACAAGTCATTGCGAACAATCGATCAGCTGCGCAGCCATGATTCAGAATCAGTTGTGATTCTGACACAATTCCAAACTGATGTTAGCCCACAAGATTTCAACAAAAGTGGAGAAAGGAGGAGTTCCCGTAGCATAGATATATAAATTGTTTTTTTGTTTGTTTTTTTTAATCAATGTTTCATCAACAAATTTGCCTGGATTAATAATTAAGAAGCAAATATGGTAGACAATATAATCAGGACACAGAGGCGCCAGCGCGTGATCTGGAGCACGTCTCATGAATGAACCAAAACTCAGACCTGAGAAGTATATCTATAGAAAGCTTGAAATGTCTACTTTTAAACAAAATAATTAAAAACTAAAAGAAATTGGCCACTCTCTGCCATGCCCGGCCCGAGGATAGTGACGGGAAATATCGGCGGGTCAGGTCAAGTTCAGGGTCGGGCAGAGAATCTAAGCTCAAGCTCAACTAAAACAGAGGCGGGATCTGTCTATGTTGTAATGATTCAGGCTCCCAAGACAAGACAATGCTAGCCCAACTAGCCAATAGGAATGTGGCCCCGCCCATGACACAACTTGCACAGTGAAAGCAAAATCATGACCTGAGAGCAAAGAAATGCGTTTTGAGAAAAAAAGTTTTCACACTGATAGCAAAAAACACAAATTTGAGATTTTTTTCAAAGTATTTTGAGAGAGATTTTTTTTCTCAGAAATAATTGTAAAAATTCCAAATTTATATTTTGTATTGTTGTATGAGAAAATACTTTCTCTCAAAACTTTTTTAGTCTCAAATATTATTTTTTGCTTTTGGTATGAAAACTTTTTCTCAAATATTTTTTTTTTCACTCAGATCATTTATATTCTCGCATATAAAAAAGACACAATCCTAGCTCCATAGATTTAAGGGTGATGTCGTTTTTATAGAAGATGCTACAGATTATTGCTGAAGTGAAAGCAAAAATAAAATAAAAAAGCAAGCATACTGTACTGAATATTTTTATTTTGTACACATTTTTTACTAAACCATTTTCTTAATTGGTTTGAAAATGGAAAGGCTCATGTGTAAGCAAGCTGTGTTCCACATTTAAAGTGTATATCACAAGAAATGAGGTTCCTATTAGATTGAATTTAGGTGCTATGCCAACACCCACATTTCATGGATTTTTATTTATTACATTTTTTTCAGTTTCCTGTCACAAATTAAGGTATATCTGTCATAAAATTACTTATATCACAAAACAATAACCAATGTGGAACCTTAAAGGGGTCCTTAACTTTTTTTACGCTCATTTTACTACTCCCCCAGAGTTAAACTGTTGAGTTTTAGCTCTTTTGAATCCATTCAGCCGATCTCCGGTTCTGGTGGTACCACTTTTAGCATAGCTTAGCATACATCATTGAAGTGCATAGCATAATTATTCCTGCGTAATAATCAGGAAACTTCACTATCGTACCATGAGACTCAGACCTTTCCAACAACATGTGCTTTGTCAAGATTAGAAAAAGTTTTGATTGTAAAATAATTCAAATAAATTTGTAACATGAAAATATGGGCACTATAAGGTTTTTAAAGTTCTGCTTCCATGGAAATGCAATGTCCGATTTCAAAGGATGAATACAGTTTTCAAATGATACCTAATTTACGATTGCTTATTTAATAAGATATGTTACAGGAGGGGTACTTGTAATCAGTTTCCCTTTATCAACACAATCTCATGAAAGTGTGTATCTATAGCACAATTTGTTTTTTTCATTTAAATGCCTAAAATAGTTTTTGCATGCAAATGATAGGCAAGGCAAGTTTATTTATAAAGGGCACTTTTTTTTGTATGTAATGGTGGCTTAGTTTGGATGCTCCTTAAAAGGTAAAGTTGTATGTTTTAACCAATCAGCATACACTTCTTATATTTCCTGGTTTAGGCATATATAAACAGCAGTTTTTGGGACTTCTTAAAAATCTTTCCTGGCTGTGTGTTGAAGAAAGTGCTGAAATAAGGTAAAAATCAGACTTTTAATTAAACACTTCCATCACAATATGTTTCCAGTATTATGATGGGTAATTCACACATCTCTTTTTTAGTTGCTATTACAAACAAACCAAAAAGTTGTATTGGTGTATATTTGTTAATAAAAGTTGAATATAAAAAACTGTCTGTTAAAATTACAATATATAATATGTACTGAACATAATGCAAGCATAAAAGAAGAAGACCTTCATTTCTTCTTTTACTATGATTACTCTGAGTAGTCCTTTTCAGGGGTATTGAAAGGAGAGTATACCACATTGATTGTGCTGTTACAGTTGGACATAGTGATGACGTGCTCTGTTTAATGTCTTTTTGCCTGTTCTAGTTAATTATTTTTATTTTAAACAAAACCAATTCAGTATCATTTAAAGTTTTTTTTTTTTTTTTTAATTACATTTCAGACAAACCATGGAGGACAGAAATTCAGACTCTGACTCCCAAACTGATGAGAGGTACAGTATTCAAATGCTGTTGATGTCAGACAACTTATACCCTGATTTTGTGGGTATTTACTTCCTTTCATGTCCCAGGTTTCACTCTATTTTGATAGCCCGGTTTATACATTCTCCTAACTATAAGCAACTTTGCATCTACATTTCAAATAGCAATGAATTGAGTATTAGTAGACTGTCTACATGATATCTGCTAAGACTTTATTGTGATACATACATTCTATTGACAACAAGTATCTTTGCCAGTACATGCCAACCTAGCAGTCTACTAATATTCTGACTGGTAGCTGACATGTAACTTTACTTATAGTCAACAGAATGTTTAAAGGTGAACATCAAAATGAAGTGAAACCATTAAGAATATTAATTAAAAAAACCACAGACACTTTATTATTTATTGTGTGAAACTATTACGTAATTTCCACCACAATTAATCAAGGTTACACTTTATTTTGATAGTCACTTTAGACGTTCTACTAATTATAAGTAACTTTTCAACTGCATGTCAACTAACTGTAATTAGAGTATAAGTATATTATAGTAGACTGTCAGTAGACTGTCAGGTTATGGTTAGGTGTTAGGCTTTAGGTTAGGAGAATAAGTTTACTTGTAGTCGCCAAGTTACTTATAGTCAGTTGAATGTCTGTTTGGGGACCAACAAAATAAAGTGTTTGCAGATATTAAGCTGACAGTCTACTAATACTCTAATGACAGTTAGTTGACATGTAGTTGAAAAGTTACTTATAGTTCGTAGAATGTCTAAAGTGGACTATCGAAATAAAGTGTTACCTTAATCAATCTTCCCCAAATTTAGCATTGTAGTTTATCAAAGACACGAGTGTCAGTGAAGAGTTTATTTCAATTATTTCAAAAATAAGACACTTGTGATGTATGAATACTGCTGAACTCAAAACTAAAATAATGTGATGTTTGAGATCTTTTGGGGGGGGGGTTGTTGTTTTAAAAATTACTATGGAATTAGTTACTATGGATTTGGATGAATCCTCTCCTGTAACCCAGTTATGTGCAGTTTGTTGACATAAAAAAGTTAATTAAAGCCAACATATCATTTATTTGAGTGCACGGTAGAACCTGCAACTGATGATCTAAATGTTTCTTTCTCTCTCTTTGGATGTTTTATTATGAAGTTTATTTCCAGACCAAGAAACTCATGATGAAGCAGTCCACAATCATTTCATTGAGTCTGTCCGGCCTTTGATTGAGCTGATTGACTCTCTGCGGTTGATCGGGCTTGATGAAGATATCTGCCTGCCATCCATCGCAGTGGTGGGAGATCAGAGTTCAGGAAAGAGTTCTGTTTTGGAGGCTCTCTCTGGTGTGGCTTTACCACGAGGAAGTGGTAAGACTCTGAAGTTTTTGCTTTGTCTTCAGCATGTTGTTACTGAAATTAGACTTTCGTAATGTCATATTGTATATTGCAGACTTCCCATTGAATCTGAAAAAGCTTTTGTACCTTTTGGAGTACTTCCCTTTATAGAGGGTTTGAGGTCACAATGAATCCTCACGGAGAAGGAAATTGCAATGTAATGTTACTGTACTATATTAACATTAAATATTATCTTTTATCCATGATATTAGCCTCACTGCAATACCTATAACTTACAACTTTTTACAAATTTTTGTGATTGTTGGCCCATGTTTTAGACTGTTTGCAAGCTGTGATTTACCCCTTTAAATCTACTGTCAATCCTGGGAGTCTATGATAGTGGATACTTCTATTGATTACAATTCATTGTCAAGTTTTGCTCTTGGCTGGATGGCATTTTCCCCTAGAAATAAGAGAGGTTCCAGGTTCTAATTCAAAATTGCAGAGGAACGTCAGTGGATAAATTTCAATAGCTGGGAAGCATTTACTTGCATTTTGTGGCTTCACTGGTATGAATAACGAGTTGTCATAGCCAAGTCAAGTCAAGTATATGTATATAGCACTTTTCACAATATAGATTGCATCAAAGGAGCTTCACAGCATCAATCAAAACATAATAACAATGTTCGTTTCTTAAGGGGGTTGCACACTGGACGAGAAGCACAGCGCCAAGAGCGTTGCCATTCGGGCTCCTCCACAATCGAGGGGTACCTGGTTGGCGGTCGCAGTCTAGCCAGTTAGAGACATGCAAGATCTGAGGACTGTTTTATCTCTGAAATAGCTTGGACAAAGAAGAAGCCCTGACGCCAAGGCGGTCAGGATTCTAAGGGTGGTCCCCTCTGGGGCAGGGACGGTTTGAGAAATCGTTTCTCCTCGGCGGCCTTTGGGGTGTGACTCTGAGGAGGGTCGCAGCACTGCCAGTTCGGTTGTTCCCTGCCGGTTCGCCCTTCAGAGCACCGAGGTGTCAGCGTCCCCATACGATCCTCCGAGGAGGGTCGTAGAGCGGTTAGTTCGGTTTTTCCCTGCCAGTTTGCCGCTTCAGGGCGCCGTAGTGACTGTTCAACCAAATCCAGAGGCCAGTTTTGGAGAGACTGGTTCCCCTACTGGAATTTCTGGCAGCATGGGAAGTGCTGCCACATATTTCTCAGTGGGTCCTGCACACCATAAAAAAGTGTTTCAGTTTTCGTCCACAGATTTCTTGGGGTCCTCCTCTCATTGGTGGACTCCAAGCAGGCTTTGGATATGGAGCAGGAAGTATTGACACTTCTGCAAAAGGAGCTGTAGAAGGGGTTCCTCCTCCCAGCAGACAGCCATTACTTCGTTGTTTCCGAAAGAGGATGAGGGAGGTTCCTGAGGTTTGCTTTCGGGGGCGAAGCATAGCATTATCGGGTTCTCCCATTCGGCCTAGGTTTTTTACCCCACTCCTTTACAGTATGCGTGGATGCAGCTCTGGCTCCTCTGAGACTCCGGGGCATTTGCGTATTATACCACATCAATGATTGGTTGATACTAGCGCAATCTGAGTTTATGGCAGTTTGGCATCGAGATGTCATTCTGTCTCATTTAAGGATGTTGGGGTTGCCTCTCAACGCCAAGAAGTGTGTGCTCTGAGGACCTCTTTTCTAGGTGTAGTGATTCTCACAGCCATATTGGGGTATATCTAGGCCAGTCACTCACTGTGAAACAGTTTCAGACTGGTGACTCTCATGACAACGTAATTACTTTTGGCCTTCTGTACATGAGTACATCTATACATCTACATGTCACAAATTATGCTACGGCGAGTTAGCCCTAGACATAGACAGTAAAATTAAAAACTTTACTAGGCATTTTAAAAATAAAAGTGAAAATGCTTACTTCCTCCATAAACTCCATAAGCTTACTTCCTAATAAACTTTAGTGCAACAGCGTTCTGTGCCTGATGTCATTGTTATTGTTCTTTTGCTTATGCTGGTCAGTTCGAAACTGTTCCCATTGGAATCTGATGTACTGGTAGGCCACATTTCAAGGTAATGTAAACAGAAAAAATCAGATCTGAGCAAAACATCAGAACTGAGCAATGAGCATTAAGACTTGGTGACCGGGGTCTTGGATTCCTTAATATTTCTGAATTTAAAGATCAAGATTGCGGAGACTCCAGACTCCAGACTCCATCGCCCGTCGATGGTTTCACCGAAATTCACACTCCTTACAGACTAACGAACAGAATCCCTGATGGAAAACCCGACTGACATTTACAAAACAGGCGACTGTAAAACATTTGTTTAAACATTAACATCAATCAGGCCTAAAGATAATCATTTCATGAAACTGCTTGTGGAAACATCAATGAAATACTGATGCATTTCAAATGCTTGATCTGATAAAATAATTAAACTATGTAAAGACTCTGGGTCGGTTCTGATCAGGGGGGGAATTTGCATATCATAATTAATAATTGATAATTAATAATTATTCATACAGATTTGGATCAGACCGGTCTTACATATTAATTTATTAATTTTACCCATATGCATACATGTGCATCCCCGCAATCAACCACAAATTAATTGTTATTGATTGCAAGGACCACGTTTTACAAGACAGGCAAAATCAATTAGCTCAATTAAGTTATAAGTGATTCTTTGCCATCTGATATGTATTCCACTGACTTATGTGATCGTCTTTTGACTTTTTTTTACATCTAAGGTTGGAGATCTACATCAGCAATTACTCAGTGGTAATCTCCACAATGACTCCGGTCAGCCTATCACTCACATATCTCTCCACTCTGCCTTCTCTACCTTTGCACTACCAACTACTACAGAGATTGTGGGTCTGATAGGTAAATCTAAATCTTCGACCTGTCAGTTAGACCCTCTTCCAACTCCTTTAGTGAAAGCTTGTTTACCAGCCCTTTTGCCATTGATCATTCAAATTGTTCACGCTTCACTTGGTTCTGGTTTTGTATCTCCATCTCTTAAATCTGCTATTATTACACCCATACTTAAGAAACCAGGGTGTGATCCTTTTAATTTTGACAATTTTCGTCCGATTTCAAATTTACCATTTATCTCTAAGGTAGTGGAAAAGTGTGTTGCAATTCAAATTCATGAACATCTCTCCAATAATAACTTATATGAACAATTTCAATCTGGATTTCGTCCACACCACAGCACTGAGACTGCACTTGTAAGAATAACTAATGATCTACTGTTGGCAGCTGACTCTGGGCTCTTAACCATTCTTGTCCTTCTAGACTTGAGCGCTGCCTTTGATACTGTTTCACACCAGATACTTCTTGACAGGTTAGCTTCCATTGGTATTACTGGCACTGCTTTGTCTTGGTTTAGGTCATATCTCTCTGGACGCAGTCAGCGTATTCAATTAAAAGGTTTTAGTTCTAGAATATCGACAGTTACTACTGGTGTTCCCCAGGGTTCTGTTTTGGGCCCGCTTCTTTTGATTATCTATATGCTCCCTCTTGGTGATATTTTAAGGAAATATGGTATTCATTTTCACTGTTATGCGGATGACACCCAACTTTACCTGTCTGCTAAACCCACTGGTTCTTTTCCTCCGCCATCCCTGTCAAGCTGTTTAGCAGAAATTAAAGTTTGGCTTTCGGCAAACTTCCTAAAGTTAAATGGCAATAAAACTGAGGCTCTGCTTGTTGGCACTAAATCTGTTTTATCAAAATCCTATTGTTTTTCTCTATACATTGACAATAATTCAATCTGTCCTTCCTCTCAGGTTAAAAGTTTGGGTGTCATCATGGATAGCACATTATCCTTTCAAGCACAAATTAATAATATCACACGAATTGCATATTTCCATTTACGCAATATTAACCGTCTCCGTCCCTTTCTCTCAAATCGTAATATTGCAGTCCTTATCCATGCACTAGTCACTTCACGTATAGACTACTGCAATGCTCTTCTCACAGGTATTCCTTCCAAATTGCTGCATAAGCTTCAGTTGGTGCAGAACTCTGCAGCTCGTGTTCTATCTAAAACACCCTATACTGAACACATTTCTCCAGTTCTTCAGCAGTTGCACTGGCTACCAGTAAAATATAGAGTTGAATTTAAAATATTGCTACTGACTTATAAGGCACTTCATAATCTTGCACCACAATACCTTACTCAACTTCTCCATGTTTACACCCCTTCACGTGCACTCAGATCTTCTTCTTCAATATCTCTTTTGGTACCTCGGATTCGACTTACCACCATGGGTGCAAGATCTTTTAGTTATGCTGCCCCCCGCCTATGGAACTCTCTTCCTCTTGATATTCGCAATAGTGAGTGTCTGCTGACTTTTAAAAAGCGCCTTAAGACATATCTTTTTATACAGGCTTTTTTATAACATGTTTTAGAGTTATTTAACTGTACTTTAAATGTATGCTGTTTGATTATTGTGTGTTTTGATTTGTGTAGTGACCTGTATATTTCTTGTGAGGTGACCTTGGGTGTTCTGAAAGGCGCCATGAAATAAAATGCATTATTATTATTATTATTATTATATAGCTTGTGAAAACAAATTCTGTGGCCACTAGAATCTGCCTTCCCTGCTCTATAACCAAATACCCTCTTAGGTATTTATAGTTCTGTAAAGCCTGTAGCTTTAAATTGACATTTCATTGACCCGTATTATGAGCAAGACAATCAGTCAAGGTAAGCATATTTTGTATTTAATAAAGTTACTACTTAAGCATTTACTACGTTACAATGATACATGTATTTACAAACATTAAAACACAAACTAAGACGACGCAGAGCGTTTAGACAATGGATACGCGTAAGTTGAGTGAGTTGGAGAGAGAGAGAGAGAGAGTGAGATAGAGTGAGTTGTAGAGCAAGTGAGAGAGAGTGGGTTACGTTCGCCACAACAGTCAGTTAACCTTTCTGAACACCACGAAAACACTTTCTTAATGCTTTATAGAAGCTCTAAAAAAGGGTATACTTGCAGGGCACATTTGGTCTGTGTGAGTCGCGGGCTCGTTGCTCGGCCCGTTCGGGCCACGTGTCGGCTGGAGGTGCGCCTGTCCTGCGCGCGTGCGTCACGTGAAGCGCGGCCGCGGCGTGTTTGCGCGGCCCGTCCCGGCTCGTTCATGACTGCTTTGTTCCGTGGGGAGTCACGTGGCGTTCGTCGGCATTTAGCGCCAGTGTTTGAAAGGCTGAAAGTCTTTTGAAAGTCTTCGTTACCCGAGGAAATAGTTCGGCAAAGTCCACTTCCTTTCCTGTGAGACGAACTTTGTAGTCCATTTGAAGAAAAGACGAAACTTTTAGACGAACAAAAGAAAAGATCCATGGTCGGATCAGATCTCCGTGAGGAGATCTACAAAAGCATTACATGTTTCTCTGAGGGAGGTCAGAAAAAGAAGGGATGAGGCGGAGCCTGTGCACTCCTTTTATCCCCTTGGCGGAATCCATCCCTTTCCTGTTGGCTTGAGCCAATCGGGGAGATGGTCGTAGCCCGCGGGAACTTAGTTTATTGTCCTTTGTTCCTCAGCGCGCGCTTCTCGTGGAAGGGGGTGTGTTCGATGAGGGTTCTATAATAACAATTTGATCTTCATTGGCAGTAAAACGAATTAAAAATACACTTTACTTTACATCTCTATGCATATTCGAGTGTTTCATTCAATAAGCATTCTAGAGATATCAAGGAACATTATGTTATATCAAAGGAATATACACTTGTTTCAAATGCATGACGAAGGTATTTTTAATTCCTATTTAAACTGTGACCAAACAAAGTTATTTCACTGTGACATGGGGAAGACACATATACATAAAAACCATTGAAAACATTTTGTTGAATGTTTTTAAACACCAAAAGTCCTTCTCTTTGTTCAAAAACATTCCACACATTCCGATGTGTGGGGGAAGTGAAAGGTTTGTGTGTGCGTGTGTGTGTTTCAGAAAACCCCTGGGGGTGGGCTTGATTCGCCTGGCCAAAATCCTTACAACTATATCACCCTAACTGCACAGTACAAAAATGTTACGTGAATATAAAACATGTAAAAATGCTGATGTCCTGCGTTTGTGGCAGGTTCACACATTTGAATTGTAACGTGCTGCTATATGAGTTAGCATTGCGCTTGATGCATGTCTCATAAAACATAAAAAAGTAAACATCTGGGAGAAAGAGAAGAGCCACAGATAGATATTTTCTCTGGGAGTATAGAATGGTTTGGGAAATTTTAAATTAATACTTTATAATTGAACTTAACCCATTACCCATAACCCATTTTTAGTGGACTAAATCTAATGTAGATTTTTTTGACTAAATCTTACTGTATTTTGTCAACTAAAGAAATAGACAAAAAAAATCACATGACAAAAATATGGCAAACTAAATTGCATATAGTCAAACTAACTATGGCTGAAACTACATAAAAAATTGCTTTTAAAATTAACACTGCTGGGGAGCTAAACCATTTAGTGCTTTATAACTAATCAAAAAAGTTTTTAAAAGTTAGGAATAAACTGATTATTTTAGAGAATAGTTGGGTCAAATCAACCCAGCTTCCCATTTCAACTGGACTAGTCACTCCAGTATGCCCATAGGAGAGGGAATATATCTCTGACACAGAGGGAAATACCTACAAAACATTGTCTTTCAACTTTTTTTCCTTCTCTGCTACTCACATTAATGATGTGTGCAAAAAACATCTTTGATTAAAACTTGGTATAGTTCATTGGTTCTCATGTGTATTTTCAATGTGTCTCAATTGAATGGGAGGTAACAAAAATGATTTGAGAAATAGGAACGCTCTCTACAATAACTACCCAAACTTTGATTTTTAAATTGCAAAAACTTTTATTTTTATTTAGGTATAGTCACTCGCTGTCCTCTTGAGCTGAAATTGCAGAGGCTGAAAAACGGTCCATGGTCGGGGACCATTTCCTACAGTGGTCACAGAGAGACCTTTAGTGACCCATTACAGGTGGATAAACTGGTTAGAGAAGGTCAGTATGAACAAAAATCCTGTATTTCATGTGACCAAACAGAATCTTAAAAAGTTCCACGCTTTTGATCTCTATAAATACATGTATTGGAATTTAAAATACCAGGGAGAAGACTTATACTTGAATTCAAATTCAATTTACACACATGACATCATGATTGCCACATTTAAGAAATTAATTTGAATTGAAAAGGCTCACGATTAAGTCATGAGTAGTGTACATATTCTTGTGCTTATCTGTTGCATACTTTGAATGACAATTCAACAGCTCAAAACAAGCTTGCTGGAAACACAGTAGGAATCTGTGATGAACTCATCACTTTGGAAATTTCATCTCCGGACGTGTGTGACCTCACTCTGATTGATCTACCTGGTATAACCCGTGTACCTGTGAGCGGTCAACCTGAGGATATTGGAGATCAGGTGAGCATACAGTGTGTGGTGTTCCCTTAAAGCAACATGTCTCAAAGCAATGTCAGTTTACAACAGGAGTCATTAGAAATCATTATAGGTTTAAATACTATCATTAACTGTAAAATCACGTGGTAAAAATATTTAGACATTTGTGATAATTATCAGATTCTGTTTCAATGTAAAACCTCAATGTGTATAATGGCTTTTCACCATCCAACCATTTCCTGATGGATCCAGTCCTGCACACCTTTTCTTTTCTTTCTTTCCCATTTCACAGTAGTAAAATGTTGACTTTGAGATTCTCTTCTCCCTAACCAGAGTACATTTGATTTTTTTAGATCAAAAACCTGATACTGAAATATATTGCTAAAAGTGAAACCATCATTCTAGTTGTTGTACCCTGCAATGTTGACATAGCAACAACTGAAGCCCTAAGAATGGCGCAAAACGCAGACCCAGAAGGACTCAGAACTCTTGGTTTGCAAATATATTCTGTATATCTATAACATATTTCTTCAACAGCCATGGCTAAAAGTATTGGCAGTTACTTAAATTTGGTAGCCTGACGTCGTCATACTCAGATTCTATTCAGAACGTGAGTCTGGTACTGCTCCATTGGGCTGTGATTATAGGGCTTTTCAACTGAACCAGGAAAGAAAATGCCTCTGCACTCAATTGGATAGACCTACAGCCAATCAGAGCAACGGAGTAAGTGATAAATCCCGTAGGGAGGACGGCAAAAATATCTTTCCGATCAACAAATGCCTTGATCGCGGTTCTCTGTTCCTCTTTTAAAATGAATGCACTGTCTACATCTTCTAACAAATGCGATCGCTGAATCTACACATTTCAATTCTCCAGCGGTGGCCATTCTTTGTTGTAAACAAATTCAACCCAAGCGGTCTTTGGTGACGTGGATGATTATGTCACTGTTGATCATCTGTCCATCATCGTATAAAGCCCGCTCTGTCAGTTTGATTGGTCCGAACAGCTCTGGTTCGAGCATGCTTGCTTCTCAACGGATCGAGTCCAGACCGAACTTCCTGACTTCAAATGTTGTGGGCGGGGCTAATTTTGGCTGACGTCCAGGCTATACATTTAGTGTAATTTGACATAAAACACTAAATTATCTGTGCACAACCCTGACCTTGAAGATCCTAACTGCTGCTTTGACTGTTGGACAAAACAATGATACACATTTCATAAGTTTCAAAGTGCCTCTATTATCCTTTTACAAATATTACCTTTAATGCAGTGTGTAATATAGCTGTCTGTGAATGTAAAAGGTCTGCAAAGTTGAAAATGCACGATTAATGTCTGCATTATTGTCTCCCAAAAGAAAGAACTGAAACGAGTTGTCAGGAATTCCAGTCTCACTTCGTGACTTGCATACGCAACGTGGGAACATATTTGCATAATGCCTGTCTGTGGTCTTCATTCGTCTACTTTGACAAGCCCTCAAACACTGTAGCTCACATATACATTTATTCATTTTTTATTATTATTATAATTGCTATATATGTCAGAGGTCGCACACCTCTGGAGCATCTAGGGGTTAAGTGTCGTGCTCAGGGACACATTGGTGTCTCACAGTGGATTCGAACCCGGGTCTCTCACACCAAAGGCATGTGTCTTATCCACTGCGCCATCACCACCCCAGCTGGTTCATGTTGTGGACATGCTGCTTTTTTTCTGCTCGGCAAAAGCAAATTCTTTTTGTAAGCTCTTCCAAAGGGTGACGATGTTATAAGGCAGTGGTTAAAATTACAGGATGGGACAGTACCCAGTTTATTTGGACCAGCTTGTCCTCAGAATCAACCTGAATCACAACCAATAGCTGCCCTTCTGCAATCTCATCTTATGTTGCTCATTTGATCAACTTTTTTATCTTCCAGGTCTGTCCCTCTATCATTAAAAACAGCTGCGGTCACTTCTATTTAAAAGAAACCAGGGCTAGAAGCTTCTGTTATTAGCAAATTCAGGCCTATATTTAATATCTTCCTTTTGTTTAAGCTGCTTGAAAAAGTAACTCCCTTGCACCTACTAGTTTATCTCTCCAATCTTCTTGATCCCTATCAATCTGGCTTTCGGTCAGGCCACAGCATTGGTGAAAATGACCTCCTAATACCTGCTGATCTGATTGTCTTACGGTTCTCATCATGCTTGACAGCAGCTTTTAAAACTGTATCTTATCACATTCTTGCCCATCATCTATCAGCATCAGTGATAGTGCTTTATATATGTCTGATTTACTTTTTACTTACTTTACTATTTACTTACTTTTTTAACTGTCCTTAACTTTCAAATCTTCTCTGTGTTTAATATTTATTTGTTACCTCTTGGTTTTGTTACCTCCACATTTTCCCTAGTCATGGTCTCAGCTAGTTATGACTTGCAAATTAACATATCAGCTTGTTCCGTCTCTGCTCTTCCTCTGGACTTATTGAATACCTGTATTGTGGACATTGAAATTTGGTTAAATAGCTACTTAAATTTAACCTAAAATGTAATAATGATCCAACTGAGGTTATTGTTTTTGGTCCATCACACCCTTTAAAAAAGTCTGTACTAAATGTATCTATTGATAGGGCAACAACAATCCCATCTAATACAGTTAAAAATCTGGCTGCAACATTTGATTCGTCACTTACATTTTAATCTCATATAACTTCTACTACCAGTATTGAGGCATTGATTAAATCATTGAAAAATGCGGTGATGTTTTTTTTTTTTTTTTGAGACCTCCAATACAAAATTAGAAACCTTTAAAAGAGCATAATAGTGGCACTTTAAAGGCTTTTATTTGCAAAAACATTCAATATATGCCGAAGCTTCAATATTTGCATTACATTACATTGTTCCAACTTGTGCAATTTGCTCTGAATATCAGCTTTTCAGATTAAACCTGCCTCAAACCTGTCCCAGGGAACACCCACCCCTGCATGAAGGATGTCTCCCTCATTCATCACACCAGACTCAACCTTACCTGCTCATTATTAGAGATTGCAAGACTTGAATAGGGTTTGTCTGATGAAGGAGACATACAACATGTGGTGTGGGGCTCCGGATTGAGATCCGGGGAGTTGCCTGGGGACAGATCCAAAATTTCATTGTAATCCCCTTGATACCCTTCATTAGTAGTCTTACATTGAGACATGGTGCGTCATCATGCTAGAAAATACATGGATCATCCCCGAATTGTTGTGAGAAGTTGTTCTTTCAAGACATTTTGATACCATCCTTTATTCATATCAGTGCTTTGGGGCAGAATTGTGAGAGAGTCCACTCTCTTAGATGGACCCCATAGATGGTCTCAGGGTGTTTCACTGTTGGCATGACACAGGACTCGTGGTAGCATTCATCGTCTCTTCTCTGGACAATTCATTTTACAAATCTCTGTATTTCCTGCAGAATTTCAAGCCTGTCCTTGATGGGTTTTTTTGTTGTTGTTGTTGATGAGACATGGCTTCTTTTCTACCCTTCTTGACACCAGGCCATTGTTCAAATGTCTTGGCCTCCCTGTGGGTCCAGATAAACTCACACCCACCTGCCGCCAATATTGAGCAAGCTCTGAACTGCTGGTGATACAAATCTGTGGCTGAATCCTCAAAAGTCTTACTCTGGACATCCTGAAACCATCTTCACTGCAGATCAACCTCTCTCCTAGAAATTCTTGAGGATCTGGTAAATGATTCTTTCAGGTGCAATTCTTTGCAGCGATTTCCTTGCCTGTAAGGCCATTTTGATGTAAGAAATGATGGCCACACATCTTTCTTTAGAAGCATCAATTGCTAACACAATAACACAATGATTGGATGCACTTCTTCCCTGCTTATAGCAACCAGTCTGCTCTTGTAATCCAGTCAGATAAATCACTGCCAATGCTTTTGGCCAGGGCTGTGTATACTATACAACTTTTAAGACCTTTGCATATAATAACCTTTGTCTCTTTTTTTTTGTTTGTTATTTAAATACATGGAGTAGCAATTCTCACAAAACCAGACCTTATTGACAGAGGAGCAGAGATCGATATTTTGAACATTGTCCAGGGCAAAGTCATTCCTCTTAGCAAGGGCTATATTGTTGTGCGATGTCGTGGTCAGAGTGACATCAATAACAGAATTCCCTTTGATAAAGCCATAGAGGCTGAACTCAACTTTTTCAGAAACCACCAGTATTTCAGGTAACATTACATAAATTTCATGAATGGTTTGCATGCATATTTAAAGAGCATATTGCAGGTAAAAAATTTTTTATAATAATTTATAGATACATTTATAGATAACCTTGTATGAAAATACCATATGAAAATGTAATGCAGAATTTAAAATGTTTTAAAACAACATAAGGGCACTAATTTAGTAGATAAAGTGAGTGTTTCTTGGACTGCTAGTAAAAACGGCTTTTTTTCAACATCGCGTCATTTGACGTCATATCAGGGAGCCGCAGCCTCGGCTAAGTGGAGAGCAGGCTGGTATTCAGTGAGCGTGGGTCGTCAGTCATTGTGCTTTCGGTAGTTTTTGCATTTTAATTTATCATCGTCATGGTAAATTATTGTGTTTGTGGAGGTTGCAAAAACTCCAGCCTGTCAGGACTTCAAGATCGAGTCCACAAGTTTCCATTACAAGAAAAGGGACGGTGCTATAGCCTATCTTTCGTTCCTGGTGCGGTTTGAGCAGGTGAAGAGACGGGATTTCTCTTCCGCATCGGCTCGGAAAACACGGTCGTGTGTAGCGTTCACTTCAGATCAAATGATTATCATCCCGGTGATATGATGGAGTTCAACATGGGATGCCGAAGCAAGAATATCGATCATCGTATACTGTACCAATGGCATCAAATAGTGTTATATAGGTAACTTAGTCATGCCCTAAATAGAGGCAACTTGTAATTGAAAAACAAAATTGGTTGTTTAAATACTCAAATCTTAAATTTCCTGTTTATGTTATAACCCAGGTGAAAAATATGTAATAAAAATTTACCTGAGTATAGGCTATGCTTTTAGTACAATAGAAATATGCTCAAGTAAAGTTTTTATACATGTAATAGTATATAAATCTACCCTAAACATACTAATGTCTGCTGGCTTATTATAGCATCATAATAATCTGTACAATATTGTGAAAACAAGTGTATATTGTTAGCGAGCGTGTATATCTATAAGCACGTATCTCACCTAAAAGGCACCTGTCCTGTTCTCCACTGGTTCTCCTCACATCACAGGTCAATTTTTCTCTGACCATTCTGTCTGACATTATCCTGGCCTGTCCCTGATCTCTTTAGCATAGCAGGCTCATAACTTTATGGCTTGATCCGTCATACGAGTATTTCCTCAGCGTCCGAAATGTCATTGCAATCCATTGTGTGAATCGACGGCTCTCCCAATCATTGCGTCACGGCCGCCACGCCCATTTTCAGACGCGGGAGTAAAATTTTCTCACAAAAACGACTTCAGAAGCTTCTGTATCGTATTTACAAGTATATTTTAAAGAAAATCCAGTTCCTACATTGTTTTTCTATGCATTGACTCGTTGGGTGCTCTAACCTGCAATATGCCCTTTAAAAGAAAGTTTAAAAAGTACATGTTTTATGTATGTATATATATATATATTTTTTTTTTTTTATAAATTGTTTCTTCACAGCTCTCTACTGAATGATGGTAACGCCTCTACTCAATGCCTGGCTGACAAGCTGACCAGAGAACTGGGTGATCATATTAAGGCAAGCACAAAATGATATTGAACTTGTGAAATTTATAAGTAAACATTAAAAAAATAAAAAAATGGGGGGAGGGGGGGATGGGAATGGGGGTAATTGCAATAAAAACTATTAGTATTATTGGGTCTAGTGTTCAGGAAAAGGTGTGTTTTAGCCATTTCTTTAAAATGGCCAAACACTCATCTGCTCTGTTTCCTATACAATGACGCATCCATAGAACGCTGCATAGTTGAACAAGTCAACTAGGTAGTCACGACTGTATCCTGAAACTGTATTGTTGCAAAATTGGTCGTTCAACCACGTTGGTTAGATCTCATGCACGTGGTGGAGTAATAACTTATATTAATGAATGTGGTTGAGATGGAATTAATTAGGGGCCAATCACCGAAGGCTGCTATTGTATCTGTTCAGATTCCTATTATTATTATTCCTTCTTCTGACTCGGCGTCTATGGCAGCCCATAGAACCGTTTGTGGGAAGGTTGTTATGGTTTGAAGGACAGTCCCAACATTAAAAACACCAATTTTGGTGTCTGTAACTCATTGCCTCTTGTGCCACCACCTGTCCAAAGTTTCACTGAAATTATGCTAATAGCTTTTGAACCCGCAAGGCCTATCAACAAAATAAGCTCTGATTCCTGAGCTCATGATGTTTTGATCGCACCCTATGACATCATTTAATGTCATTTTGAATTGTCCAAATATATATAAATATATATATATACTGTATATATATATATATATACTTTTGCAAACTCGTCCTAGACGATTTGTCCGATTTTCACCAAAATTGCACCTGATTATCTCCAGGTCGTGCCGACAAAAAGCTATGGAATTCAGGTTGATTCATCAAACCATTTTCGATAAACTCATAAACTGATTTTACGTAGCGCTTGCAAAAACAGATGTAAGGCCTTATCTCCGCAACGCTTAATCGTATTTAGACCAAACTTGGTACGCGTCATCACAAGCATGACCTGAGGCTACATGCTGCGTTTCGGCGCAGTGCCACCTACTGGTCCGGAGATATGAACAATGGCTATTTTTGCTCATAACTTCTGAACGGTTTGGCCAAAAATAATAAAAGGTGTCTTGTTAGATTCAGGGCGTCATGCCGAGTCGACTGAAATCCAATTTTCCCAGATCGGCCATTTTGGCTGTTGGCCATTTTGGCTGTTGGCCATTTTGAATTATATTCTAAAATGCTGTATTTTTTGAACGCATTAACGAATTGTTACGAAACTCGGTATGGGTCATCAGTACGATGCCCTGAAGGAGCCTGAGAAGTTTCGAAACAGCGCCACCTAGTGGTGAAATTAAATTTTCAAATGCTTATAACTCTGGCTGTGGTTGACTTATTTTCAGGGGAGTCATCTCGTTGGAGTCCTGAATCCTTGCCGAGTCCAACGATACCAGACATGCTAGGTTTCGTCTTATGGTTTGTGTAGTGTTGTGATTTAGCGCTGAAACATTAGCCTATATCTTTGAAACCGCTAGTCCAATCGAGACGAAACCACCGTCAGAAGTTTGGAAACATAGGTTGCTGGCTATACGCTAATGCCCAAATGCAAAAATATTGATAATAAGGGTTAGTAGAATTCAATCAGTCACGTGTCAGCCATTTTTGACGTGTTTTTTTTACATAAATGTCTATAACTCAGAAGTGAATTGAGATATTTTCACCAAAATTGACAAACAGATGTATGGGTGTAAAAAAAAAAAATGATGGCATTGTGCCTCTGTTGGCACACTAGCCTGTGCCTCTGTGCCTCTCTCTAAAAAAACATCGGTACCTAGTCAATCGTTCTCTGAGTTTTGTTTTCATGATAATTGAATGTAAAGAGTTTTATCTCTAAAAACTCTTTATCGTGTAATGCTAGTAATGGGGGCATTGACTAAGTAAAAAGAAATCGCTAGTTTATACTACTAACAAGGCTCAAAATAGTTCAGTTCACTTTGCGTATACAGACAGGAGCCATCTTAAAAAATAGTCTTGATAAGTCGATCCCCGAACGCCGTCAGAAGTTCGCTGAACTTCATACAGTTCAGATCACTCAGCACGACGTTCATGGTTTGACTTATCGAGACTATTTTTTAAGATGGCTCCTGTCTGTATACACGAAGTGAACTGTCTTCATAAAGTATCTTCTTATTAAACGGTCTGTACACTTACAAAGTTCTCAATGCTTCGTTTTGCATGTGTGGAGCCTCATTATATTACTGTGTTAGTGTGGGGCTATTTTGAGCCTTGTTAGTGGTATAAACTAGCGATTTCTTTTTACTTAGTCAATGCCCCCATTACTAGCATTATACGCTAAACAGTTTTTAGAGATAAAACTCTTTACATCCGATTATCATGAAAACAAAACTCAGAGAACGGTTGACTGTGTACCGATGTTTTATTAGACCAAAGGTTCATTGTTCGCCCGAGTTCTCCTTTAACGAATGCATTGTTGTAACATTGCGAAACTCAGAATGTGCCATAAGCAGCATGCCCTGAAGGTACTTTAAAAAGATTTCGAGACAGCGCCAGCTTTTGGTCAAAAGTTATTATTAAACTTTTGAATAAATTTGCCTATTGTAATGACACTGATCTTAATAGATTCCTTGGGTTATGCTGAAGACATAGATACCAGGTTTGCCATAATCTGCCAACCTTCCTGTCCGCCATCTTTATTTTCTTTTAAAACCTTTTCGAACTTCTCCTTGACCGTTGGTCCATTTTCACCAAAATCGAATCATATCATCTCCAGACCGTGCCGACTAAAAGTTATGGATTTCGTGACGATTGACAAAACCGTTTTCGTATACCACAGCATCAAAGTTGAGGCATGCTGCCAAAATTACTATTTAGGCTTTATTTTTGCAATGCCTTGACATATTGGCACCAAACTTTGTATGTGTCACCTCACTCTGACCATTTTCTCAGTTATTTTGCTTTATTTCCATTCATTCAAAGCTTGTTCTCAAGTAGTAGAGCACATTCACACGTGTACGGTGCTTTAAATCTCTTGACTACTAAACTAAAAGACTTTGATGATATTTGTATGTATTCTAAATAAAATATAGATTTTACTGAATGTCAGCTTGCTTATTGTACTGAAGACAAGGTACTCCAGGTTGAGCAGGTCAGGTCATAAAATTTTGTCTCATATCATTTTAATATGCGAAAATGCATGGGTTAAAATAAATATTGGTTTAAATTATGTTTAATTTAACCTTAGGGGTCCAACGTTTTTTGGGGGGTCCTTGAGATGTTCTGACATGCTCTGACATGTGCATTTTTCAGTTGCTTATAAAAATATTAATGGTAAAAGTGTCATTACACTCTATTCAGCACAAACAGGCCTACCATAATATATGAGCAACATGAATGTACATGTTTGTATATTTAAGAGAATAATATTTATCGGTGTTTCCCACAGATAGAATAATTTGTGGCGGTGCGCCACAGAATCAACACTGTAATATATAATTACTATATGGGGCATGGAAGTTTGATAAATTAAATATGAAAAAAAAAATATATATATATATATATATATATATTTTGGTCAGTATACAAAAACTATATTGTGGTCAGTATACAAAAACTTCTCGGTTAACATAATGTTGTTTTCAATTAGGCCAAATTAAGGGTACAATATGAAAGATTGTTTCGCCACCAGGGGTCGCTAACCTCTTACAATAACAAAGGCATATATTAATGATGTACTGTATATTCGGCATTAAGATGAATTATGGATCTTGTCGTCAAGCTGATGGATCTTTTATGGATGAGTGAATACATTAATGTTTTTAACATGACTGCAGTATGAAGCAGGGTGCGATTGCTTGACTTATACCAGTGCCACACGCAACGCGAGTCCCGCGGATATAAAGGAATAAGGACATTTCATTCTACCGAACTACACGCTGAATTACTCACACATAGGGACACATACTCACAGGGACGCTCACGCTGTTGAGCACGCATAACGGACATAACCGACCCAGTTGTCCACGTCTGTCGCCATGGTTACTATCGCAGTACGAGGTCAAACCTGGCGGAAACCGAGGCTAATGCGGATATGACGTCATTGACTGGCGACTCCTCACCCCTGCTCACACGCCCCGTTTCCTTGGTTTAAATCACAATTTTCTCACGGTTTACAAATAGTTGGAAACATTTAGGATTTTGTAAGTTATTAACTAAACAAAACATATAAGATTTGGCCAAGTGGTTTTTGGATATTTTACTGCAAAGATCCTGCAAATTGAACCTTTAAGTGTCAAACCTCTCTGAAATCACGCTATATTCATATTTATTAATTAAATCTTAACATTCATTAAACCAAACTCCAGTGTTACTCGTCTTACAAATTATTAAGGAAGTAATACATATATAGTCCGCACAAGTTTTATATAGACAAGTATTTGTCTACTTGATTTTATTTCCTTGTCAGATAATCTTTTTGCATAAATTCGAAATAGACTTTATGGCCCATTTTACAGAATTGGTTCAAGGTTAGATTTGGACATGTCTTGAATTATTTTTTATTTTTCCACCAATTTTGAATGCTTGCAAATTGTATAATATCCAAGGTGAACATTTCTTGTAATTGTGCAGTTAATTCTTATTTTGTATTTTCAGAAAATTTTGGAATATTATTCCTCTCGCCACATTAGTTACTAATGAAACACAATAAGAAATAAATGTAATGAGTAGGCTTATGTTGACTTATCACAATATGTCAAGTGTAATTTTTTTGTAAAAAGCATAAAGTTTATCATACGTATTTCAAAGTTAAGGACTCATTAGTTTGAATATGTATTGGAACAAACACTATAAGAACATCTTAGTTCACAATTTAATATATCTGCTTTATTTTTGACAAAACATACTATACTATTTAACACACGATCAGGAATTGGCGAATAAAAGCTTCATTGATGTATTTTACAGTTTTTAAATCAATGAAAAAAATCTTTTTTAAAACTTTATGAACTGTCCGAAACTGGTCAATGAAATTGTGTCTAAACATTCATATTTAATCTGTAACATATTAATATATCATAAAAAACAACAAATGGCTTAAAAAGGTTAATTTGCAGTTTAATGAGTTGCTTATACAAAGACGTTTTATTCATGTTCATTTTCACAACAATGAAAACGAGTTTCAAAGGGCGAATCTCTGAAGACGTGTTCGGTCTATAGTGGGTTTCATCTAATGGCCTGGCAGAGGAACAGGGTTTTTGGTCGTTTTCACGGATCCGTGTGAATGGGGATCGTTTTAACCATAGTGTCGTCTGTACGCAGAGTCAACAAACTCATTCATTTGCAACTACATGCTAACTAACTGTCATTAAAGGGTTAGTTCACCCCAAAATGAAAATTCTGTCAGTATTTACTCACCCTCATGTTGTTCCAACCCCGTAAGACCTTCGTTCATCTTCGGAACACAAATTAAGATATTAAGATATTAAGATCGCTCCTGCTTACAGTCCATAGGCTTCTTGAGGGACTGGCTCCTGCTGTCCTCGAAAAGTCATTAAAGACATCGTTAAAACAGTCCAAGTGACTACAGTGGCTCAATCTTAAGTTTATCAAACGACGAGAACACTTTTGTGCGCAAAAAAACAACAAAAATAACGACTTTATTTCAACTATTCACTTCCTTCTCCATGGGCCTGTAGTCAGTTAGCGTAGTGTGATTGCGTAGAGCTACGTCACACGTAGGCTCACTATTGGCCGACACTGGTCATGTGTGTGTGATGCGTGTGACGTACAATAACAGAAGCTTACGCTATTAAACTAGTAATCTGACTCGTGCAGAGGGAGAAATAAACCAATAGTTGAAATAAAGTTGTTATTTTTGTTGTTTTTTTGCGCACAAAAGTGTTCTCGTCGTTTGATAAACTTAAGATTGAGCCCCTGTAGTCACTTGGACTATTTTAACGATCTCTTTAATGACTTTTCGAGGACAGCAAGAGCCAGTCCCTCAAGAAGCCTGTATGCAGGAGCGATCTTAATATCTTAAATATCTTAATTTGTGTTGCGAAGATGAACGAAGGTCTTACGGGGTTGGAACAACATGAGGGTGAGTAAATACTGACAGAATTTTCATTTTGGGGTGAACTAACCCTTTAAAGTATTAGTAGAATATAAGGTTATTGTTCTTTAATAAGTTAACATGTTTGCAAAGTTAATTAAATAGAATGTCTCTAGGGGGACCATCAAAATAAGGTGTTAACATATATTAGGCAGACACTACTAATACTTTAATGTCTAGTAGTAATGTTTAGTAGCTGACACGTAGTTGCAACGTTAAGTTTAGTAAAGAGAATCTCTAAAGTGGACTATCAGAATAAAGTTTTACCCATTTTAAATGTCAAATTAACAGATGTGCCAAGTGAAAATTTTGTTAGGAAAATTGTGTAATAAAAAATGTATAAAAAAGTGACCTTAGAACAATGTGTCCTAGTGATTGTAAAACCAAACTGTAATCTTTTTTATGGGCACAGAAATCGCTTCCAACCTTGACTGTGCAGATTCAGAATCGGCTCCTAGATGTGCAAAGGGATCTTAAAAACTACCAGCAGGGTCCACCTCTGGAAGAAGAGAAGATGGGATGTTTTCTCAGTGAGGTAAGATAAAAAGGAAAATAAAGCACGATAAAACCATAAATAATCTTATGGGATTCAACATGTCTTTTTATTTATTTATATAGATTATACTGGAGTTCAGTGATAAAATTAATGAATTGAGTAGAACTGGACATTCAAGTGACAAAAACATTTATGCACTTCTACGTGATGAATTTAAGAAGTGGGACACCAGGCTGAGAAGCACTGAGGAATCATGTGAGTCAAGATGTTAACCCATAAATCCAGTTGTTCTTTTAGTAGGACTATACCCTTGATGATGCCATAACATCAACTTTTCTTATTGCCATTGAAAATGTAGTCCAAGCATGTGTGACGGAAATGATAGACAAGTATAATGAGAAACATCGCGGCAGAGAATTGCTTACGTTCAGTGAGTTCTGTGAGTTTGAATGTGTCATCAAAGACCACGTGTCAACCCTTCAAGAGCCAGCTATGGAAATGCTGAAGCAAGTACGAGGTACACAGTGAATTTAATAAACAAGTATGGAAATTAAATCATATATAGGAGGCATTATAATAGTATCACATACTTTTATTCTGTCCATTTCAAAACATTCTATAGCTTCCTTCTTGTCACATTTAAAATTTCATTTTCAGATATTGTTGAGAAGTTGTTCATGCAGGTCTGTTCTCTGTCTTTTGAGCAATACCCTGCAATGAGATACATAATCTCTGTAAGTAAAACCACTAATGCTTTTCACTCTTCTTCTTCTATTTATTATTATTATAATTATTATATTTTTGATTATATTATACTCTTCAGAACATGATAAATGAAATTCAGTCAAAACAAGAGACAGAAGCAGAGAAAAGAATCAAGGAGTTCATTCAAATGGAGCAACTGGTCTTCACTCAGGACAGGGTTTTACAGCAGAAACTCAACAACTCTGACATTTTGCAGAAGAGTGGAATAGAAACAAGTGACAAGAGCTACTTCGAAGATGACACCGTTTTCAATTCGAAAGGCTGTGCACAGTTGGATACAAGAAATCTCGTACCAGACAAACTGGTTCTCTATTATGAGGTGGGTAACATACCATACAATTTTTTATTTATGTAGCAAGTGGCTCAATTTTAGTGACTACGCCACCCCAGGTTAATGGGGAAAACAACCTAAATATAGCACACAAATACGTTCCACCTCGAAAAGGCAAGAGGCATGGGCTTCCATACAAAAGTTTTATTGACGTTAAAAGTTGATCAACAGTGATTTAAAAACAGTAATTCACAGGTCATGATTGAATTGAATACAGTCAAGAAAATAATAAGCAAAAAAAATAAATAAACAAAATTCACAATAAACCTCCACAAGATTCTCAATACACTTAAGGCTTAACGCCGAAAACTGAGGCTTCAGCACAGGAGCAGGCTAGTGTGCCAGCAGCAGGTCCACCATAAGAAACACGGCAAACCACACTTACACCCACCCAATTCACTGCAAATAGCCAAAGATAATGACACGCCAATAATGAAACTGCAATAACATTCTCAGTGAACAAAACCTGCTGTGAAACAAACAACCAGCCCGCTCCAGGAAGGCCCCAGCTCCTGAAGGACAAGAAAAAAAGAAAAAGAGAATAGATAAGAAACTGAAAATAATAAACAAAAAAAAAAAACAATATTCAAAGTAAATTTATTGACTTTAACGTAGCAAGAACCAAAAAAACTCGTTTACACAACACCCCCCAAAAAGACAAACAAAATAGGAATACTATGAATGAATTAAAGACAGACAATTCAAATTAAAGAAAGACAATCTAAACTATTTCGATGACCACTGCAGGGACACGCCCAGCGATTATTACAGGCAGAATCGATCAAAATCAAATAAATGCATGATAACAGGACAAGTTAATTTAACAAGGAAAACATAAATAAACAAAACAGATTCGAAATCGGTCTAATTAACCTAGTCCATGATGATCAACACACACACACAAGAAAACAAAACAAAAACAATATTTCCCTCAAACCAAAACAACCCAAAGTAAAGAAAACACTCCACAACCAAACAATAAACAAATACGTTACACTGTGACAGCTGCAGAAACACGGCCAGCAGTTATTTCAGACAGACAGTCACTCAAAATTGCATAACTTGAAAACTGGTCAACAAAAAAACAAAAGTAAAGAAATGCCAACTAGTAGCCAAAGAAAGCAAAATGATCCTTCAGGACCGTGTACACACTTGACTTAAACGTATGGATGTGGAGAAAGCAGCAGCGTAATTAGCCCACTTTAGCGTCCACGAAGACCTTCAAATTAGTAAACAAAGAGGATTATAACTAATGAAGTGATCGACCAGTTACCCACCCGATAATACCACAAAATACTAACCCAGTTTACCTACCAGAGAGTACGATCCAGTTACACGTCAACATATACCAGAGAATCATTTAACAGCCTCGTTGACTGCAACAGCTGGTGCTCCGATCAATTAAAGGATTAGTTCACTTTTGAAAAAGCTTTAGCTGATAATTTACTCACCCCCGTGTCATCCAAGATGTCCATGTCTTTCTTTCTTCAGTCGAAAAGAAATTTAGGTTTTTGATGAAAACATTCCAGGATTTTTCTCCATATAATGGACTTCAATGGGAACCGGGATGCAGCTTCAAATGTCTTTAAACGACACCAGACGATGAATAAGGGTCTTATCATGCGAAACGATCGCTTATTTCAAAACTTATTCCAAAAATGTAACTTTTCTAAGGACAAATGCTAGCCTTGCTCTATTCTGTGAGGCGCGTTTGTAACGTCACGTAATACGCAATTACGTTCAAAAGGTCACGGGCGACGTAGCCGGAAGTACAGAATCAAAATCGTCCGACATCGTTGTTTTTCCTTTTAATTCCTTTTTTTGTAAACGGTGTTTGAGCTAGTTTGCACGTTCAACCTATGCGTTCAACTTGTAAACACTGCCTGCGTCCCAATTCGCATACTATCCGTCCTAAATAGTATTCGAAAATAGAATTAGTACGTCCCAAATCGTAGTATGTTGAAATGAGTGTTTCAAAGATACCCGGATGGTCTACTTTTTCCGGTCAGAATCCGAAGTGTAGATCGATGCACACTCTAACGGCTGATATTGCCCACAAACCATTGCGCGGTGGACGAGGATTCGGTTAGAACTACAAACACGAGTAAAAAGTGTTAAAAAACTACAGACACGTAGTTGATACGGAGGACCACGGTTGTGTAGAGAGGTTTAGATAAAGATCTTTGAGTGATTAATTATCAGTATCTAATAGGGGTGTAACGGTACACAAAAATCACGGTTCGGTACGTACCTCGGTTTTAAAGTCACGGTTCGGTACGTTTTCGATACAGCAAAAAGAAAGAAATGCCAGAGAAATTTCCTATTTGTTTAAAGAAAAAATATTTTTAAATAAGTGTGAGTTTTCCTAGATCTTGAAACTTTCAGGTTTATAAATGGGGGTCATCTTTGAAGGATGAACAAATAATGTTTTGGTCATCACATTAAAAATAACATTTAAATATATATTTATTTATATAATATTTGAATTTTGAAGTGCTGGAAAAAGATGTGTGAAGTACTTGAAAGCATTTCACCATTCCAGCCAAACTGGTTCCAGTTAGTGTTACTATATTAAATCCATGGTGAATGTTGCTGGTCTGTGGATGAAAGTATTACTAGTTCATTCACGGCACAATGTTTCTCCTGGTTTCCATGACAGCGCCGTTTGATCTAATAGAGATCTACGGTTAATAACGGAGAAATGTGAACGCTTCTCACTAGATCTCGCAGCGATGTTATTACCTCAGTGGTGAATTCAAATGTTTTCTTTACCGGATCTCTTAGCGCGGTGTGGTAACAGTGTTGCTTGATCGAGATCGGCTCGCGCTGCACAGATGTTGCTGGTCCGAACTGATAAACGATCCGTGAAGCACATTACGAGGAGCGCAGTTTCGTTCTGCTTTCATTACGCTTGCCATTTGGATGTTGCGCAACGTTGTGTTGGCCGCGTCAGCACGAATTTTGCTGGCAAGAAAAATGGTCCAAGCAACCGTTCGGTTTGTATGCGTACCGAACCGGAAGCCTCGAACTGAAACGGTTCAATACGAATACATGTACCGTTACACCCCTAGTATCTAACCTGACGAAAATGAATTTATTCAATGTTGTCCACATTATATTACATTTGCAGCAGCATTGTGAACTTTTGTAAAGACACGTTTAGCCATTATGTTTTAAATGCATCATTATATTCAAATTGCAAACACATGAGGAGAGCATGAAAGACCCACAACTGGCAGATGAACGTGCTCTCCAAAACGGTAGGAAATAAAATTAGATAGAATGGAGGATTTTAACAACTGTGACAAGATGATTGACAGGGCAGTTTACGGTGACAGGATGAGCGCAGCACGCGACAGAGCTGTCTGTTAAAGATGACGTGATAGTATGTCCCAAAGCTTGCCTACTCTTTTGCTACACACTCAAAAGTATGTACTTTTTCCTCACAAAAAGAGTACATACTTTTAGGGCGTAGTATAAGTGAGCGAATTGGGACGCAGGGACTGACTCTGTACTTTCAGCTACGTCGTCCGTGACCTTTTGAACGTAATTACGTAATACGTGACGTTACAAACGCGCCTCACAGAATAGAGCAAGGCTAGCATTTGTCCTTAGAAAAGTTACATTTTTGGAATAAGCTTTGAAATAAACGATCGTTTCGCATGATGAGACCCTTATTCATCGTCTGGTGTCGTTTAAAGCAGTGGTTCTCAAAGTGGGGTCCGCGGACCCCTGGTGGTCCGTGAGCTAAAGCCAGGGGGTCCGCGAAATAATTTATAACAACGTTTTTTTTTCCAAGCTATGAGTCATGTTTTCTTTATCATCTGAAAACATGCTGTTTATTCCTAAGTAACTTATATAAAGCATTTAACATAAAACAATACAAAGTAGACACTTAAAGTTTTCTATAGATAGATAATCTATGTCTGTGCGTCAAGTAGACTATTCGCTGCTGTTGATTTTGCGGGACGTGCGCCAGAAAGGAGACGACGGCATGATCCCGCATCCGGTTCTTTTCTGTATTTTTAAAAGGCACGACATTTTGTAGTCATTTATAATGTAGCCTATACACAAATAAAAAAATGGACACTTTACCGTTTCGGATGATGCACTCTTGTCTTATCTATGACCATAAATAAGAGTATTCCTGTTTCCACTGCTGAGGAAAAATTCCCATGTAATTGCGTGCCGGCGTCTCGCGTGCGCGCACAATAGTCAGTTCTAGCACTGCTACTGTAGATTTGACATTAGAAGTCTGATCATTATCAAAATAAAAGTGCATAGTGACAAGGCCGTACCCACAACTGAGGTTGCAAGGATGCACATCGCGATGATACTGACCTTCTCGTCTGAGGTGCTTCAGCAGACTAACAACGATAGCTCGTCAATGTCAAAATGTTTGAGTCGGAGTGAACTCAAAGTTCCCCGCACGATGTTTCAGTCAACGGTCATAAAGTGCGAGATAAGATGTAGGCCTTAATTAACATAAACTAAACAGCTGTTTTAGATAAAAGTTTTAAAAAACGACTAAAACAATCAGTTTGCAAAGTATTAATCAAGGTTAATCAATTATATTTAACATATACTGTATGTTTTTTTAGCTAATTACAGTAGCTCAAATTAACAACGCACGCACCTATTAAACATAATGCCATTATCATTGTATTAAATAGGCTTATGGGCTTTATTTGTGCGCAGAATAGGCCTAATTATTGAAACATTTCTCTTTTAAGGCCATTCCTGATTGGAATATGTGATTGTGTTTCGTGACATCTTGACAAAAAAAAAAAAAAATGTATGCCACTGACTGACATGCTTCTACTAAATCTATAGTTATCCAATTGTGGGGCCTTAAAACACCTTAAAATGCACATGTGTAGATCAAGAACATCAAAAATTCTTAAGTGAGGGATCCTAAGTGATTCCTAGCAAGATCACTTTCGTTACCTCAGTAGGCTATTTAGAAATTCCTGCATAGTACCCTGGGT